AAACAATGGCACACATGGCCTCCAGAAAACTGAAGGGACAATTGAAGTATGAACCTATTGTTGGTCACCAGCTACCATAGGATTGAATCTCCTAATGTTTCTCTCCACTGCCTTGTACATTAGACCTCTGAGTCAAAGGCTCAAGGAGTGGCCCCATAAGGAAACCACCTGCTTCGGTCTGGGCACTCGAGCAGTATCACTACCTTTATACAAATCAATGATAATCACTACTGGCGTCATTGTTATTGTGAGGCGTATATGTGTTATACGTTATACGTTAAACCTAGAATATATGTGCATTATTTCAATTGCCATATATCATCAGTTCAATGGGATTCAATACAAAAGTAGGAGCGTGTGTTATAGTAGGAGACCCAGTGATGGTATCAGAAAAAAATTAAAATAGAGAATCTGATTCGAGCAGAAAAAATCAATTTATCGAACAAAAAGTATGAAATAATTTTAAAACTCAGGATCTAAGAGTTGTATAAAGAATAAATTGCATCTACGCTATAACTACTGATTTTGAGCCATATATTATTCAAAGTACTTAACTATTCAATATGATTGTCATACACTTGTTTCTGTCGATTGATACTCATTCGTTTTGTGGAAGGTGAGGGCTTACAATAATAATTTGGTTTCAAGAAACACTGCAACAGCATCATATCTCTATGCTTCATACCGTAAAGATTCACAAAATTATCCTGGTTCATAACATACTTCAAGGAGTAAACACGCGTAGGGTTAACCATAGTTTTTTTCAGTTTCCAGTAAACGTAAAATATTTAGTATTTGATCGCTCACCTAGATACCTTAGAAATATTGTTCGCATCTGCTGGGATCACCGGGTAAGTAATAGTGAGGTTAGACACAGGGTATTAGGGAATGATAGTAAATCAGTTGATGAGGTGATGAATCTTCATCGACTGAGATGGTTGGGCCACGTGTTACGTATGCCTGAACACCGATTACCACGACGTGCTATGCTGACTAGTGTAGGGGATGGTTGGAAGAGTGTTAGGGGCGGCCAAACAAAAACGTGTCATCAGTGCTTGAAGTCACTAACTTCTGGTCTGAGCCATGTTGGTAGATGCAGACTACTTGGTCGGGGTCCGCGTGACTATCGTAATCAATGGTTGGAGACTCTGTATGACGTGGCTCAGAATCAAACACAATGGCGCAGGTGTATAAACTCTTTATCTTTCCTTAAACCTTGAGATTGAAATTGCTTCATATCTTTCTTCCTTCCTGTACTATATCCCTATATAAAATCTTTCTTTCATACATTACCATCATTAAACTAATGACTTTTATGAATTCAGTGTTCATCTTGTTGTGCTAACGAGGTATGGTAACTTGGACCGATGCATATATGTGCCTGGTCCTACGTTGTATCTGACTGACTGACTGACGTTCACTTACAGGATAAGAGAGCGGTTATCACTAACGTTTTTATTTCAGTTATCTAAACCATCTATATAGGTCTTCTATAAACAAGCCGATGTAGCACATACTAACGTGCCAGATAAAAAAAGAAAATGAGATGAAATCCTCAATAAAATGTTCTTACATTCAGCACTCATCAAAAAAAATGAAGAAAAAAATGCCTGGAAATGGTTGGTGCCACATATATATTAAACACTGGAAAAGCGAATTCACTACAAATTCACAAACATATATCCAACTTCGTAAACATGTAAAGTAATTTTTCTAACACAAAGATGGTTTTTATATAAAGTTGAAATCATGAGTCAATTGAAGCTAGACCACCATAGAAAACCTGGAAGCACTGGACGGCCGTTTTGTCCTATTGTGGAACATTAACACCGTTGGATGTCGGCTCAGTGGTCTATTGGTTAAGTGCTTACGAGCGTGAGACTAATAGGTCCTGGGTTTGAATCTCGTGAGGCAAGATCATGGATGTGCACTGACGAGAAGTCCCACAACAGGACGAAACGGCCATCCAATGCTTTCAGGTCTAGCTTTAATTGACTCATGATTTCAACTATAAAATTATTAAAAATCTCCACAATCAACCTACAAAGATGGTTTATTTATCATAATCGTAAGCCTTAAATCTTCATCATTCATACTATCGAGGGTAAGGACGGGTACGAATATGGATACATTTTTTATAAGTACTATAATAGAATGATGAGTCATTTTGTTTAAGAAAAATCTAAGTATACTACTAACTTTTGGTCTATCTATATCGAAAAATATTAATCAATCATTTATATATATTGTATGTCTAGAGTTAAATAGAAAATCAAATAAGAGATTATAGAATGGTATTGTCTACCTACCTACATACATACCCATTGACTTCCTACTTCAAATGGACAGATACCTAACCTGATACCTAGATATATAACCAATCACAATAGTATATATATATATACGTATATATGCGAAATTTAAAGGACAAAAAAATCGTGATTATATTAAGGTTTGTTCATTATTTTAGCCGTAGTAATCGTTCAATCAGATTAATCAATAGTAGATTATGAGATATGATAATGTTCATATTGTTGAAAATGGACTATGAGTTTGATTTTGCAGCTCAAATCAATGTGAATCATACAACAGGACTGTTCTTAAACTTCTAGATCGTCATTATTTTTTTCAAATATGCATTTATTACTGTGAATTCTCATGTTATCGACTTATTTTAATGAATAAATTACCTTTATCGATCTCGGCGAGGCCTTGTGATGTGTACACTTTGCCCCCAAATGTCCTGGTACGGCCGAGAGTGGGAAGAGTCCGCTCTCCCTATCCAAATGCTCTCACATGGCCACGTGTATATAGCCTCTACCAGGGAAGTCCTACTCACTGTCTTCTTACAGCATTGTTGTTGTTTACAAAATTGAGAGGACGAAAAGCAAATGTCCGGTAGTAGCTTTAACCGGGTTGGTGGACACGGAAAGTTCATCTAGGGCAGTTGGAAAACCCTCATTACAAACCAATGGTGTACATGGGATGACTTCAGTATCCTGAAGGAACAAATGGCGTACGAACCAATCGGTGGTCACCGGCTACCATGGGACTGTATCTCCTTACCATGCTCCACTACCTTGTGGATAAGACCTTTAAGTCGAAGGCTCGGTGTGTGGCTGCCTAATAAAACCACCTGTTTCGGTCTGGGGACCCAGGCAGTATCATAGCCCTCACACAAATCAAATGAGACTTGTGTGGCGCATATCTGGTGCCTCTTTTTACCAATATTTATGTGTTTAAATAAATAAATAAATTTATCTACTGAATGTAATCAAACCCTTTCATAACATTCAAACAGCTTTTCGTAAATCTGATATTACTGATAAACTCAAGATTTACCAAAATAATGGTTAGTATATTTTCCTTCTCATCTGTCGTTTGCAGAAACAAAAATCAATTTTATGCATCAAACAACTTCAGTGATAGAAAAAGAAAGAGATATCACAGAGGGTAAGACTTATGATCATAAACAATTACAAATGATTAGAAGGGGTTTTGTGGAGATTTCAGTAATTTCAAAGTTGAAATCATCAGTCAGTTGAAGCCAGACCACCATGGAAAACCTGGAAGCACTGGACGGCCATTTCGTCCTATTGTGGGACTCCTCAGCAGTGCGCACCCACGATCCCGTCTCGCGAGATTCGAACCCAGGACCTATTGGTCTCGCGCAGCAGCGCTTAACCACAAATGAATATGAATAGTAGCTAATCAACGTTTAATCAATTTCTACGTACATGTTCTTTAATATTCACAAGTTAATTACTTACAAAGACGAAAAAATCTTTCTTAAGGCTCACAACTTGTACTGAGAAATGTTTACTGTAATCAAGCGAATGGTAGTGAATGAAGCAGTTATTATTATCATCAATATCACTATTTTTATGATCATTATTATTATATTGAACCTCATGTTCACCACTAAGGCTAAAAACTCAGCACATCATCCACTAGACTACTGAGTTATGGGTCATGACGTCTACATCTTTATTATTCGTAAAGGTTTATGCCTTCTCGTAGTTAATAGTCATGACTTATTTTCTTTATTTATTTGAACACAAATATTGATACAAGGGGGCATAAATACATATGCGCAACACAATAATAATGAGTTTTCGAAGAGACAGAGAATGTAAGTTGGGTGTAATAAAAAGAATAACAATGAACAGAAATAAAAATAATATTAATGGGAGAAACAGTTCAGTTAGCAAAGGTACAACTAAAAAGAATTCTTCCAGTTAGAGAATTTACATTCACTTTCATGAAGTTACAGAAGGATAGCCACTGGCTTCTATTCTGAGCCATATCTGATGTCTCCAGTCACTGTGTTGCACCATCTATAGAACCCCAACCAGGGGGTCGGGAAGGACCAACAGAAACCAGTCCTGTACAACCGGTCCCAGAGTAGGCAAATAATGCATGATGTGGAATTCACTAGGACGACATTCGTAAGATATGTCTAAGCCACTGAAGTCGATGTTTCAAGATGGTGACACTTATTGAATTATCGTCACTGTGACTGAATACAAGTCGCCAAACCTCAGCATTACTAACATGGTGTTGTCAATGGATGTCAGCAATCCTCCAAAGACAACGATGATCAAACATACAAAGCCATCTAATATGCTCAACTTGGAGAGGCTAGGTTTCACAAGCATAGAACAAAACTGCTCTCACCGACGCGTTGTAGACCCGACCTTTTACAGCCAGACTAATATCACGAAGGTGCTAAACATGACCCAGATTCGCGTAAGCTACTATGACTTTCATGATACGCGAATTGATTTCGTCACTCATGCCACCACCATCACTTATCCAGCTACCCAGATACACGAACGTCTCGACTACTATCTGCTCACTACCCAGGTTGAGTATGGAATCAGGGTACTGTCAGTCGTGTAGAACCATTTTGCAACTCGAAGGTGAAAAGCACATACCATACCTACGGAGACTAATTGTCAACTGATTAAGTGCGGATTACTTAACTCGAGTATCATCGCACAGTAAGACAATATCATCCGCATGCTCAAGGTCGAGAAGCCTTTCTCCAGGTAACAGATCCACACTACTATTACGTAGATTCATCAGACCTGTTTCCAGAACGTCATTGATAGCAAATTTGAGGCGGAATGGTGAGATTGGGCAAATTAAATAACCCGACTGCTTGAATCGAACAATGGAGAGAGTTGGTTTTATGTCCTCACTCGGCATCAGGTGTTAGTATATAGGGCTTTCAAGATGTTAATAAACTTCTCATGCATACCCTACTTCAAAAGAAAATTCCAAAGAACAGTTCTGTTCAACGAATAGAAGGCGGCCCTAACGTCAAGAGACAGTACGAATGTTTGGCCAGCAATAAGTATGACGATGTTCTGACCTTCGATAAAGGGTGAAGATATGGTCATTACATTCTAGACCAGAACGAAAACTAGCCTGCTCCTCACGAGTCAATCTTTCTCGGGTTTTAAACAATCTATAAAGCATGAAGGAAACCAACAGTTTGGACGTGATCAAAAGTAGATTTATCCCACGATAGTAGTTGTTGCAAAAGCGACGTGAACCATTTATATAGATAGGAGCAACTATCGAACCATTCCACAATGTTGGAACAATCACTAATTTCAAGACCTTTGTAAACAACTCAGTCAGTTCCTTAACCAGAAAGTCGTCATCATCTTTCATAAAAAGGGTCGAAGGCAACTCATCTGCGTCTGGTGATTTGTGACGCTTAATGAGCTGGAGTTCTTCGGAGACTTCCGCCTCCTTAGGTGGATTGGTCATCACGGATCACGGAGGGAAGGACAGTCTGATCTATGTCATCAGGGCAACGGGCCAGTTGAACTGCTCCTCGAAAAATTCTCCCCATCGTCCAGGACGTCGGTAGACGTTAATGAGTGACATCCCGTCAGTTCCATGTATTGTTTCACTCACACCAGACTTCTTGCTGCCAGTGACTCGGATGAGTTGGAAGAGCTTTCGGTAGTTACCAACTGCAGCTTCTGCTTCCATCTCGTTAGCACGCTCCGACCACCAGGCTTCGCAGGCCACAAGCAAGCTTTTCACAATTTCATTACACAATAATCTTCGTTTACAGTCAGCGGGACGTTTCTCGAAGACGCAAGTGATTTTACTCATCATTTTCAAGGTGTCATGCAATTACAACCAATCACAATTGATTGATCACTGGGTGGTGATCAATGTCATGCGTGTCAAGTCCTTCTTTAGTGCTGATCGAATGCTATCGATCAAGTTGCAATGTGGCCACCAGTCTAGGTGGCTCGACACTGTTTGCATTATATATATATATATATATATATATATATATATATATATATTGAGGTAAGATGGTGGTTGAAGGTGGTCAATAGGAAACCCTGGACCCGGGTTTCGTGCTACTTGGCACTCGTCAGCAAGGTGTACCTAGACAATTCATCTTTTAGCCTCGTAGTAAACAATGGTCATAGCTCTTTGACGTTGAATGATTTTTGGATTGTCCTACGCAATCAATAGATTAATAGTTTGCTAGTTTCATCCCCTCTGAATCGTAGGGACATGAACATGGATTTCTTATTTATTGTTGGTACACCAAAGAGAAGTCAGAAACCAGACTTTATCATTCTGATACTTTAAACATACATGGGTTCATAAAAAACATGTTGGACCTAAATCGCAGCATTAAATGGAAAACTACAGTTATACATAAACAATTCAACAGTGATTTTGAATAATCGATTGCCGACTAGCTTAAGATAAAAGCAATAAATAAACATAATAACAATCCATTATCGCTGTCAAATCTTTTTCCTGTTCATCAATGATTGTTAATTAGTTATAAATTTATTCTCAGATATGGTAACAAAAACGATGTTCATTATATGAATAATGAGATTTACATGTACCAAACAGTCACGTGAGCTCTAAGGACTTTGCCTGATCATCCCAGAGTTTAGAATAGTAGTTTTTGGAGGGTGTGTATCTACTGTACAAGGACGAACCAATAGCGATATTAAAATCAAATTGTGATTTTGAAACAGGTTCTCAAACAATTAATAGTCGATACAAAGCAAAAATAATTCGCTGCATAAGTATTAGCCCAAAAATGCCCTGGTACGGCCCAGAGTGAGGAGGGTTCGCCCTCTCGAAATGCCCTTACATAGCCACGCGTATATAGCCTCTGTCAGGGAAGTCCTACTCACTGTCTTCTTACAGCATTGTTGTTGTTTACAAAATTGAGAGGACGAAAAGCCAATGTCCGTTAGAAGCTTTAACCGGGATGGTGGACACGGAAAGTCCATCCAGGGCAGTTGGAAAACCCTCATTACAAACCAATGGTGCACATGGGCTAACTCCAGTATCCTGAAGGAACAAATAGTGTATTAACCGATCGTTGGTCACCGGCTACCATGGGACTGTATCTCCTTACCATGCTCCACTGACTTGTGGATCAGATCTTTAGGTCGAAGGCTCTAGGTGTGGCCCCCTAAGAAAACCACCTGCTTCGGTTTGGGCACCTGGGCAGTATCGTAGCCCTCACACAAATCAAATGAGATTTGTGTGGCGCATATGTATCTGGTGCCTCTTTTTACCAATATTTATGTGTTTAAATAAATAAATACAAATTTGATTACGCTGTGAACAACATCAATTATTTTAATACACAATCTGTATTAGAGGCATATATGTTACGTACTTTGATTTGAATATGATCTATAATTCACTTTTTGTTTGGATAATGGATATTTTCATTGATTTCAGACATTTTAAGAACTAAGTACTGCCAATTTTCACCTGGTTAATCATAACATATACGTTCTATATCACTGCACTCTAAACTCCACGCAAATACCCAAGGCATCACCTTAATTCTGACTGGATAACTCAAGGTCGTCAGTATATTATACTTTATCCCGATAAAAGTCATTAATTTTTTAACTTTGTAGAAAAACGGAAACCATGTTCCCTAGTCTGTTTGGGTCGGCTCCATACTGTAGATACACAATTAGGATAGTTCGTGAGGATATTGTGAGGATTATTGATGGTCTACTAAATAAATTAGCCGCGTTTTCGAACTCATAATTAATGGGTATAATAAGTGGTAAAGTAGAATTTCATAATACTTTCTATTTTATTCTAAAGAAATAAAATAGTAACGTAACTCACCACGTGCAAATGACTGAACACAATTTTCAGCAATACTTTAGGTTTAAGATGTTATGGTGACACTATCCAGTCGCGTAAACTGAAATGTTACGAGATTCGAACATGGAATTTGATGGTTAACAGTTGGATAGCTTAACCACAAACCCAGAGCTTTACATTACTTACTAATGCCTGTTACCCCTCACGGAGGAGCATAGGCTGCTCATCAGCGAACTTTACATACTAACAGTCAAAGACATTGAAAATCCACATATTAGAATTCAGAATTTCAAATCTTGAAATGAATCTATCATAATAATGAATCTATATTTTTGGTTAGCCATTAAACCATCAATCCAACTCAGCGAACAAAACTACCAAAATCATCCACTTGAGCTAAAAACCTTCCCCATCATCTGAAAATAATTTGACTTTTAGTTCCAATCCGAAAGATTATTAAATACAGTGAACTTTCATACATCTATTTACCTTTTTACCAACCTCATATCCTCATGAAAATGGTATAAAGTTGTGTATGATTCGGTTAAACAGAGGAAAACGATATGAAAGTGGTGAGTAGACTGGTTTTAAACCAGTTAATTGATAATTAGATGTCTATCGATAAAGCAAGCACTATGTTACATCACAATTCAGAATACTTCTATTAGACATACAATAGTCGGGGTACACTATCGTTCACTATGATAGGCTGTCTGAAATATTCAAGAAGTTAGTGTATCTCAGTAGTTTGCGAGATGATAGCTGAATGGTTGAGTATTGGGCTTTCAATTAATAATGTGCTTTAGTAGCTGTATAATATCCCAAGCGCTTGCATAAACGCTGCGCCTAAAAATCGAATACTTGGTAAATGGGTTACACATATATTTGAGTGCATTCTGGTGTAAGAGATGAAATAAACTTAGGTATAGTTCGAGTTAGACTACATAAATCTGGGCCACCGCCGTCGTCAGGTCGGTAGTCTGACAATGAATGGTCGTATGAAATGTATCAGTCTGGAAAGTTCCGTTTTATGATTATAAAACTTGACCTATCCAAGGTGAAGACATTGAGCAACTTGGCGTTCGATCATATTTGTTTCTGAAGAATTGTTACCTTAGATAACAAAACTGTCTAATTAATCCAGAAAGTTCTGCAACATGTATTAAAGTACGCTAGGGGGGAAATCATCCACTTAGTTTGACAAATTTAAATCACTAAGTTTTGATTATTCGACCATGTCTCACGTAAGTGGTTCCCGAAGACTACAGAAACTAATAGAACACCATCACTGCAAAATAGGATGGTAACATAAATGAAAACAGTTTAACAAAAAATTAAAAATAAACGAACTAAACATTTTGCAATTGTTATCCAGTGATCTATATTTTAGAAGTCGGAAGGTTAAAGGCTCATGGCTATGCCTAAAAGTTGAGATCTTCAAGAAGACGAGTCATGAATACTCACTGCTCTGAGGTCATACACTGGGATGAAGCAGCTATCCAGTGCTTTCCAGTTCTTAATAGTAATCTAACTAGAAGAAGATTTAACAATCCCCTCATCACCTAACTATGCTTCAAAAAGAAAACGTAAGATCCCAGTACCAGACATTATTACAAAGTTGACAGATTGAATATTACACGTGCTTTGAGTTGTAGCTTCAAATGACCTCGTCCATTACTATATACATACATAATTTACATAAATACACATGTATTAGTGATGGAATGAATCCGTCAGATTAAACATTCTAAGCACACACACACACAAACATGCCAGCACATATACAGTGTAAAAAACAGCAACAACAACAACAACAAATGACCACCACTTACGATTCGGTTTAGTGAATGTAATAGTGTTATTTTAATCGTTTTGCGTGTGTGGACGAAACCATAATATGAGTTCACATTAAATTACATCATTCAATCTATTGTCTATACGAGAATGTATTTGGCATATGTAGATATACATATACATATATAGATGAATACCATTATTTGTTTTATCACTAACAAACTATAAATAGAGACTGTCACATTTATATAATTAACTAATTACTGGGTGTAAAACTAATCGACCCAGATTACACAGTAACCATGTATACATTTTAATTGATTTTGAACAATGAGAAAAACAGACTGTCCATTGTAACAATGATATAGGTGAATGTAAGTTAATCAGGAAAATAAGTGAACATCCGTTGAGAAACTATTCCAAAGTAACATTATGTATGGAACAATTGTTACATTCTAGTTTGATCATACTAATCACCCTTAGTTGATTAGTTATAATTAACAGACAGTCCATTACAAATGGGTATCAGTCTAAATAACAAGATAAGTAACAGGATATTTGAAATAACTGTAGTATCCGTACTGGAATGATGCAGTTCGAAAAGAAAGTAATTGAAAGAATGGAAAAGTACAAAGTAATATTGAAGCTTAAGTTTTAGAGGAAGATAAGTAGTAAATGGATCTCTACTGTGATTGATTCTAAACCATATCATGCAACATCTTCAACAACCATTAGAGACTATCATGCAGACCTCAATTGGTTAGCCTCTATCTAACAATATCCTTCAGATCAACAACTGGTGTCACATCTTGTTTCCGTCACACTTAACTTTTCTTTAACCTATCTCTGTACCAGCTAACACGATGCGCTGAAGCAGGTAATGGTTGGTCATACATGTCCGATGACTTTAGTCGATGAAGATTCGAAACCTCATCAACAAATTTGTTATTTTAGTTGAGTAACCTATGCCTAAATATCTGGTTCCCTGGATTGCATAATATACATCT